GAGATCAGGTAGAAAGCTGTGTCATCTAGACAAGAGACATGGCTCCCTCCGTGTTGCAGTTATCTGTTGCTGTGTAACAAATCGCCCCGACACTTAGGGGCATCAGATGACAACAATCATTCTCTTTCTCAGCAACTTGCAATTTAGACAGAGCTCAGCAGAGATAGCTTGCCTCTCTTCATTTGGGGTCAGCTGGGGCAGCTTAAGCTGGCTGCTGGAGGATCTGCTTGCAGGATGGCTCATTCCATGGCTGCCAAATCAATGCTGGCTGTTGAAGGGGAGCTCAGTGGGCTGTGGTTAGAGGTCTTGGTTCCTCTTTATGTGACTTCTCCATGGCCCATTTGGCTTCCTCATGGCCTGGTGGATCACTTTCAAGAACAAGTAACACAAGGGAGCCAGGAAGAAGCTGCTTCCACCTTGATCTATTAGATCACTTGCTCCAGGGGAATCAGGTGCCATGCAATAAGGACACTCACCAAGGAGAGGCCAACATGGAAAGGAACTGAGGTCCCCAAGCTATATTCCGCACTGACTTGTCATGTAAGTTAGTGCGATGGTTTGAATGTATTCACCAAAACTCATGTTGAAACTTAACTGTCCCTGTAATAGTATTAAGTGAGGCTAAGTAAGAGATTAGGTCACAAGGGCTCTGCCCTCATGAATGGAGTAATACACAGTCATGCCACAATCCCTTCTCCTCCATTTCTTCATCCTGTCAGAATTTTGAACAAGTACGCACATGTACCTGGCATATTTTTCAGACCTCTGGGCTGGAATTCAAATCATGGCCAACCCCATAGGATTCAGCTCCCTTAACCACTAGGCTATGGGGCCAGCCCCTAAATAAGAATTATTAAGCTACTCAGACATAGACTTGCCCTGCCTCCAGACAGTATCCAAATTTCAGTTCTTTGAACTTTTCCCAATATCACCTAACACAACTCCGTAAGTTTTTCCAGCATCCTGTTCCTAAGATGCATCGTAATTCTCCATGGTTTCATTCTTTTTCATTGCAATAGGAAATAAGTCCAATCTGCTCAATTACTGCTATGTTCCTGATGGTCTTTGGCTAGAGAACTTTGACAGAGAAGAACATAAAATTTCAATATTCATTATTTATACTAAGAGAAAATATTCATGAAACGTCTGTTTCTGTTTATGTCTTTACATGTAAATGTTGGACTATGTTAAAGTATTTTTTTTAATGTGAGTCACAACCAAAACAAAGGGCCCAGTGGCCATGAACTGGAAACCAGGATGCTCATGGACAGCTCTGGCCTTTGCTTGACTGTGTGCCCTTTTGCAAGTTTCTTCACTTCTTCTGGTCTCTTTTTCTTCATTCATTCACTAACTCATTCAAGACGTATTTTGGGGGGTCAGGTGGCAGCACAGCAGTAATACAACCAGATTCATGTAGGAAAGGTTCTTGGTTCAAGTCCCAAAGCCTCCCTGAGCATGTGCATACCCAACATTCAGGTTGGCTGAGACAGGGCACGAAGACCCTACTGGGAATGCCTGTCTCTCTTGCTACCTTTCTGTCTCTCACTCCCTCATGGACAAAATAAATAAACTTTTCCAAAAAATAAATCTTTATTGAATGGCTTTCATATTCCAGGCATTAAGGATCCATTAGTGAACAAAATAGATACAGCCTCCTGCCCTGTGGAGTTGATATTCTTAGGGAGGAGGGTGATCAGACAATAAAAATAGAGAAGTAGACATATATTGCATGTAAGAGATCCGTAAGTGCTGTGGAGGAAGATAGTAGAGAAGGAGGGGGGTTAGTAGAGGTCATTTGTAATTTATTAAGAAAAGGTAGTAGAAAGACCAGCAGGTGGAATGGTGATTAAAGCACTGGACTTCCACATGGCTGACCATGGTTTGAGTCCCAGACCTGATGGCTTGAAAATTACACTGAGCATGTATGTGTGTGTGCCTAAGACCCCAGGAGGAGAATAGAGGAGACTGGATTGGGGCATGGTCATCCCCCCAGGGGATGATTTCTCACTTTCCCTATCATTATATGTCTCTCTTCAGTGAGCACACATGCCCTATAGCAAAATCCTTTTAGAAAGGGGAGAGGGAAATTTGCCGGCTCCATGGCCTGGTGATCAAGGCAGCCAGATCCCACATCGCTGACTGTGTAGTTCAAATCCTGGCCCCAGTGGCTAGAAAGACACGCTGGTGAACGCATATCCCTGAGTGCCACAAATCTCAACAGGGTGGAGAAATGGAGGAGAAGGGATTGCTATGTGACCATGCTTTCTTGGGGGCTGCTTCTCCCTCTCCCTTCTTCTCTGTCTCTCTCTTGGGCAAGCTCATGTGCCTTCTAGAAAGTTTAAAAAAAAAAAAAGTGGTCAGGGAAATTTTGACTCAAGCGGTGATGTTTGAGCAAAGACTTGAAAAAGAGGTGAGGGAAGCCGATTCTGCAGGCATGAGAGGAGAGTCCTCCTGGTAGAGGAAACAGCATGTGTAAAGGCCCTGAGCAGGGAGCATACTTGATGGGTTCAAGGATCAGTAAAGAAGGCCAGCGTGGTTAAAGGTGAGAGGAGGAAGAGAAACAGAAAAGCCAGAAAGATATTAAAGGACCTAGTCATGAAGGCCTTGCAGGTCATTGTCAGGACTTGACTCTGCTAAGTGAGAGACATAAGATGATCTTAGATTTTAACAGGATCCCCCAATTGCCACACTGAGAATGGGCATTCCAGGGGAACAGGGAGCTGGGTGGGTGGTGATTGATCTGGGTGTTGATTGATCTGGGTAGGTCATGTTACCTCCTTCACACAATTGTTAGGAAGCAGAAACATTTGAATGCTTGCAACTCTCTTATTGTTTGCATTAGTCCAAACTGATAGCTAATTGAGCAAAGGAGAGATGAACTTGGGTGGTATGCTAGAGGCAGGGACAGCTCAGCGGACTTGCAGGCATCAACCACAGGGGGCCTTAGGAAAGGCACAGGTCAGCAAAGTGTTAAGTGGGAATATGGGCCAGAGGTTGAAGGGCAAAGTTTAATGTGGTCAGAGCAAAGGATAAATAAGCTGTGAGGGGAGAGAGGTGAGCTGGAGGGGTGGAAAGCAAGCCGGCTAAGTTGTACATACAGACCATGCACGTTGAGACTCTTACTCAATGCACCCTTCTCAAGGAAGCCTTGCTTGAGATCCTGCTGGGTCCTTTGTGCAAGATGGAGTTTGGGCAGATTAGAGAAGAATGAAGTTGATAGAAAAAGGATGATCTTTCCAAGGTACAAATCTGATCATGTGATGACTCTGCTAAAACTCTGTTGATTTCCCATGGCCCCCCAGATAAAGAGCAGACTTAGCCTACTCCAAGTCTTGGTGCTCTGGCCTCTGGGGAGGGTCTGCAGCACTCAGAATAACACCTGACACTCAAATGAATGAACCCCAAGTAGATGGAGGAAGATGGTGCTTCGGTTGGGGCTATATTCATCATTCGACTCCCCCCTGCAGACACCCCACCCAATTCAAGACTCAGACTCCATGCCACCTTCTTAAGGAAGCCTTGCTTGTCACCCTTCAGACCAGGCCAGATGTCCCTGTTGGTCTTTCAGCTCCTGTACTGGAGAGCATGTATCGAAACAATAATTAGTTACATGTGGACCCACCTATTTAGAAGTCACCCTTGTTCATCTGGAACGTAATAAGTGCCGTTCATTGACCTCTCATTTTCTGAGAGCTGTACACGTCAGCCGGTTATCTTCACAATTGTTCCACAAGGCATTATTCCCATTCTGCAGGGGGAGAAACTGAAATACAGGGAGGTGGAGTAGAAGGTAATTCAGCCAATGACTAGCCAAGTCAGGATTTGAATCCATGTCAGAAGATCTGAGAGACGCTGCTCATAACCATTGGACCACATGGCCTCACCCTGCCATCTGCTGAGAGCAAGCTACATCTATCTTGCTCGTTAATATCTCCTCGGTGCTAGACACCAGCCTGGCATAGTGTTAGGGTATCCTCAACATTTATGGTCTGTAGATGCAAATTAGCCTGCTTACTGAAATTTATTTTTAACTCTATCATCAACACTCTTGGCCCTTTCTTGGTCATTCCCACACATGTGCAGCATGGGGAAAAACATAACAAAACAGAAAAAAAAAAAAAAACAGGCTACCTAGCAAGCATGTTCCCCGCTAAGGCTGAACAGGTGAGAGCCTTTGAGTTTCAGCTCTCATACTGTACACATGTACCCTTTCATGATCTTTTTTACAGCATGATTTTTGTGGGGTTTTTTTTGTGCTTTTTGGTAGTCATTTCACTATTTGAAGTGGCCCCAAGCTTGGTGCTGAAATGCTGTCTAGTATTTCAATGCACAGGAGGGCTGTGATGTACTTCACGGAGAAATACGTGTATTAGGTCAGGTCCGTCAGACACGCGGCATGGGGCTGTTGACCATAAGTTCAATGTCAATGAATCAACAATATTACAGACATGCCACTGGGCCCAGACCTCAGTGGTTAAAGCCTTTGTGCATGGAGAGCCAGATCCCACAAGGCCAACTGCAGTTTGAATCCCACCCCCATCAGCTAGAAAACCACTCATGCCCAAAATCCTGTTGAGATGGAGAAATGGAGGAAAAGGATTACGACGTGACCAAGCTCCATGGC